AGCAGAAGTAGTGGTAGTCGTCGTCGTCGTCGTCGTAGAAGTGGTAGGTCGTGTCAGTGGTGGCGGGGGCAGTGGCAGTGGTGGTGGTTGTGGCGATGGTGGTGGTGCTGGTGGTAGTGGTACTGGTACTAGTACTTGTGCCAGTGTTATTGGCAGCGGTAGTGGCAGTGGTGGTGGAAGTGGCAGTGGCAGGGGCAGAGGCCAAAACAGCAACGCAAAAAGAAAAAAAAACACAAAAGCATGATTATTAACAATACTAGCAATACTGATAGTTGTGAAAATGCTCAAAATGGTGATAACATTAAACAAGAATACTATAGCAACTGTACTAGTTGCAATAATCGAAACAGCTTACTTTGTATGCGCTCAGCGCAAACTCCGTTTGAGCACGATGCCCAAAATACTGGCTTATGTGACATGCTCAAAGCCTACTAGTGCATGGGTTGTCCAGTTGTCCAAACAACTCGCACGCTGGCTTGAGCCAAGCACGGATACAAAAGCCCCTCTTGCTGCTGCACGTCCACGCCCGACTGAGGCCCGTTGCACCGCTCTTGTGAGTCAGGAAGAGCCCAGCACTCCGTGTTCTACTCTCGGACGCAGAAACAGTCTTATATCCTGAGCCCTGACCCGAGGCAGATGTTTTCCACATCCGTCTGTCAAGCTGACACACGCACAGAGACACGAGCAGCCCAATTGACGTCGGTGCTGCCCTTCGCAGATAGTGAGTTCACACGAAAGCATTCTGCAAGCATCTACGCAAACATTCACTCCAAACGAATGCCGTAGCAACACCTGTTCGTTCAGCGAAAACACAGCTTTGCATCTCCCTGGATCTCACTTATGCATTCTGTCGCTGCAAAGGCTACATGCGGCGTGCAAGGGCACGCCCGGCTTCTCCGCCCGGAAATGTTGGCCGTCACGAGATTGGCCGAGGTCTGGCTATAAATTGGGGAGCATTGGCTACATAAGACTAGTTGCCAGTAGAGCAGAAAATGGCTCAACCCCCAGCCAAGCGAGTCACAGTGCCAAACCTACCCGTGTCTACGCTTTCTTGTCGTAGGTTTCCTGCCAAGCTTACTGAGCAATCTGTCTGTGCGCAGTTTTTCCGCGGGTTGCATGATGTTGACATGGAACCTCCAGCAGGCGGAGTGCTGGCACTGCTGAGCAATTGATTCCGCTGCTGGCGTAGTAGCAATTGCAATGCAAACAGCGAGGAACATGTCAGCTATTGTTCGTCCTGAACTTCACGCCGCAAACGTATGAAAGCGCGAAGCCTGTCATGTCTGAGGCCGGAAGTGGCTTCGCCAGCTGCACGGCCACCACATTCAGATCTTCAACGGACATGGCGGCCGCAGCCAGTGTAGTAAGCCTGCTACCGGCAAATCACAGTTCAGGATGACTGTCCTCGTAGCATATCTTTCTTCCTTCTGCGACAAGTCTTATTCGATTGAGATGTCTGCAGCCCGGGAATGGGTGGGAGGTTCGCCCGAGTCCGGACATACCCTCATTTCTTTGATAGTTTCTTTCCTTATTTCTGTGCGTCCTTCCTTCCTTCCGGGGATGTTGTAGGACGGTGGCCGCCCCCCTTCCTGCACAAGCGCACTCCGGCCACCGGTCTTAGTTCTATCTCTCGCTTCCTCAGCACCTGCTCCGAAACTCAACCCCCAAACTGGCCTAAAAACTGAAATGAGCCCGTCGTTAAATCGACAAGCAGCTGCTGGCCCAATCGAGACGTTTGTCGGCAGCAGGCAGCCATTCCGCGACCTCGGAATGCACATGCAGAAAAAGAACCCACACTGCTACGACCGAGAGCAGCCGACTAGACACGAGAACACACTTCTTCCACATACCATCTAGTCATCTTGAAGCAAGCTACCTGTCCACATATGTTTCCACAGGTACGCCCACTGAAGACATGCATCCTGCTAAAATTTAAAAGTAAGCCGTTTCGTCTGCATATTCTTCTCCTGAAATAGTACGTGGGCCGACAAGCCCCGACAGTCTTGGAGCCCAGGCCTGAACAAACTCTTAAGCAATCGATTGCTCGTTGAACCTGCCAGCATAGGGAATCTCTTTCAATTCGGAACGCTCATTGCCAGGCGCCTGGCTTTAGCAAGGAAGCTGTCTCCACTGGCTTGGAGGAGCCTTGAGGAGGCTCGCGGTGTAGACCTGATTCCAACTTGTTATTCAAAACCTCCGTCGGCATACCCGCCCCTTTTTGAACTCAGTCGGGAAACCAGGCTAGATCAGCCTCCAGGGTTTCGGACTTTGACACGGTCCCTGCCCGAACTCGCTTGATTCAGACATCCTGGTATTTCACCTTGTAACCACCATCCAAGGTAGAGGTTCAAAGCCGTGCCCTTCCTGACAGGTTGCCCAACCCCAACCAGCCCCGCCACAATGACCAAATTGATAGTCAACAATGGTGGCAGCCAGCGCAACAGGAACCAATAACCAACAAGCAAGCGGGCCAGCATGAAAGACAAAAGATCGACACCAACACCCGCCATCCAGAGAATGCACACAAGTAGACGACGATGATGACGACGGGCAATGACAGCGACGAGCGACGAGGAAATTAGAAGGCTTGAGTTTGAAGCATATCCAGACTTGCTGATTGAAAATGAACTGGAAACAAGGCAGTCATGAATCACTCCTGAACACCAAGTACGAGTGGAAAGCGTGAGATTCTCCGCAGCTCGCCCAACCCAAATTCCCCCCCGCTGCACAACAAGAGTTTCCACAAGAGCGGTGTGCAGAACTTCTAGAAAGGGTGGGCATTCATCACTCATCAAGCCTGAACACTTAATTCGAACAGGAGACGTGGCACTTTCACCAGGCAAACGCCAAACAGAGGGCGCAGTAAACAACACTTGCCCTTGCAGCGTGTCAGCACCGGAACCACACTGACGTCGCCCTGATTATTTGACTTAAAGCTTTCAGCGGTATGGCGCGATGTCCGACCAGATCTTAATTACTCCAAGCACCAACACTGAACCATCTCATCCCACACCGCAAGCGCGGCAAATAAGCAAGTCACGAGGGTGGGAACTGGACTCCCGGGGCTTCGTAGTTTTTTATAATTCGATACTGACATGGAATGCACATGCACCTCAACGAAATTCTATGCTTCCGCGTAGCGAACACGTCCTTCCGCAGACACCTACCGCAACTCCTTCGCCAGTTCGACAATTCCCAGCGAGAGTAGGCTGTGTTTTCTCCGGGAGCGAGCCATACCATAGTGGCTCGGAGATGGGCCCGGCGCTGGTCAACCGCTGTCACGTGGATATATTGTTTCGGATTTGGGATGATTGGGGTTTCCTGTGCGTCTACAGCTTCGCCATGGTGGGCTTTGCTAGCTCCTACCCGTCCGGTGCAGAAGCACTGGATGGTTCACTGAAGGCTTGATGATGGAACTTCCGTGGACCTTGTGGGAGGGAGTCCGTGCTCCAATTCTTCCACACGCATCCGTGCCGACAATAGAAGGCACTCCGTCGTGAGTCCACCGATTCTTATTATCGGAAACAAAAAGTACTTCGAATTGCTAGTCGCTGTCGTCGCTGCCTTTGCCTATGATTACAAACCACCAGGCTCTCTTCACGCCTGCTCTTTCCAGAGCTTCCTTCTGCGCCGGAGCCTTGCTGGTGCCAGGGAATGCTGACTTCATGGGGGTACGGGTGTGCATACTCTTGCGGTTTGTCCATGTTTAAAACGTAGTCCCAAGAGTAAGCTTGCTAAGGCGAAAGCATCAGTCTCGGAGCTCGAGGCTCTCCGAATTCTCAACTTGGGCTTCGTGTAAAGATCTCGATTTCGGCTGCAGGGGCCAAACCGGACATCAAACAGCTTGGCACGTGCAACGAGTAAGGCCGGAAATTACCCCCAGGCTGATAGGGCTGCACTGATTAGGGTTCTGCATTTGGGGTTGGGTGGAACCAACAGGAGCACTTGCTCGACTCGTCGGGTGGTTTCTGGTTTCCGGTCAACGGCATCCAGCGCCCAAACTAACCAGGACATGCAAAGATGCAGGGGATTGTGCAGAAGCCATTCCTCGCCCAACGGGGTTGACATGCGCTTGTGAGCGGGATTCCCCTGTTTACGGGGTATCGGCTGGGGTACGTTTGAAAGAAACCGAAGCCTTCAAACACGAGACCCGTAATGAAACTGCCGGGATCCCTGCACAACGGATCTGGCCAACGAAAAACCGGCAGTCTTTTTTTTGCACAAATGCTAAACCTTCAGCGAACTGCAGATACTAGTCAGAGGTGCATGATTTTTAATCTTGCAGCTGCATGTCGGATGTTGATTGCTTGGCTTGGCTGGCTCTGTTTTTGGCCTGCTACAGCCACCACCGCGGCATGTGTCAGCAGCAGGTTGGAGGGTGCACCACCTCTGGTAAGCTCTGGTTTGCAGCTTGAAAATTGACATTTTGACACTCACTCTCGGACAACACCAGGCGAGAGAGTTGATGCTGCAGATGCTGATGAACAGGTCAATGCTCCCGTGATTTTTTCCATGTTCAAAAAAATCATCGCAGAACTCTTGGCTATCGGAATCGGCTTACTCATACCGAGCATTCATTCATACTATGTTCACAGTTATGGTTGAACCGTTGAAGTTGTAAAGGTCATCACACTTCTTGCTCGGACCAACTATTATGCTGATCATCGGCATGAACATTAAATGCCACAGCTATTGGAGACATCAACCACACGGGCGGCATTCTTTTTGCTGAGTGGTTTCGGGTTTGAGGTCGTGTCTCTCTATACAAGGAGAGGCAACGGACATTTCCACCACTCCCCCTTCGGCGTCAGGCCCTAGTCTAATTGCTGGTCATGCAGATTTTGTGCATGGTTGCTGCCGGGCTGCGGGGAAAGAAGTTGTTGCCAGCAGGTCTTGCTGTTGTTGCAGAAACCCCAATTGTTTTCTCAACTTAGTCAAGTGTTGTCTCCCTAGTAAACACTTCGGAGACGGCTATCTTTTTATTGCTGGGCTACAGAAGTCCAGCTCAAGCAAAACATGCCTTGTTGCTGAAGCAAAGCCAACAAGAGCAGAGTATGACGTGTAATGCGGTATGCGCCTCCACAATCTTCGCTTCCTTCTCGTCCTTCTGCAGGCTGCGCCGTTGCTGAATGGCTTTCGCTGTCCACTTCCTGCAAAGCACGTCTTGTCGGAGCCTTTGACTCGGACTGCGGATGGGCTTCAAGCTTTTCTACCTCTTTGGCTCTGAAAGCTTACCTCGCAAGCAGCGGAGCACGGCGGGTGGATCGACCTGCTTTGGACTTGCACAACAGATCCCTATTTTGATGTCATGGCGACACACCCTTAGGCTGCTGCTGCTCCTCCTCCTCCTACTGCTACCGCTACTACTACTCCCATCAGCACCATCACCACCACCGCCACCATGAGCATTACCACAGCTGCTTTGCGCCACGTGGTTTTATTGTTTCGACTAGTATGACGATGTTGATGAAGATGGAGAATAAGATTATGGTGATAGAAGTGGCGACAGTAATGTTTGCAGGGGTGATGATGTTGATGGTGACGATGAGGGTGGTGATTCGTCTAACAGACCCAACAGTAGTGGTAGTAGTCGCCGTCAGTAGCAAAGCAGAGCAGACAGCGGAGAGCAGAGCAGAGAACTAGAGCAGTCGCATTTGCAGTGGCAACAGCAGCAGGCAGAATCATCGAAAACCGGGGCCCTGAAACCTGTGCCTCTCTTTCAGGATCATCTCCTGGAGCCCTCCGTGCCTCCGGAGGGACAGAAATCAGGACTGAGACTTCGTACCATCAGTTCCTACACTCCCCACAATCTGTCCAGCCAGCCGTGCTCAAACCGCAGCGTCAGCAACCCTTCAAGCACCACGATCGGGACACACGCCGCCTCAATTGGATGTTCTGGCATTCAAGGTGTCCATGATGTCCACGGGACTGTAAGTACCAAATTCATTGGCTGTTTCGTTCAGAAGGCTACCGCCTACAAGTGAGCAATTTGTGCCCCCGGACATCCACAGCCGCTTTAGTTATGTGCTGAGATGTCCAGAACAGCAATCCACAGGATCGCTGTCAATTTGGCTATAAGCTCTCTTAAGGTACGAAAATTGGTTTATTTTTGTTTTGCTTTGGGATGTTTTGTTTTCTGTTTCCCAAAACAGCTGCGACTATGGCCAGGTGGACCTTCTCCTTTAAAATCACGAGAGTTTCACTTTTGCCCACTCCCCGCATCCTGCTATTTACAGTGCGCGAATCTGGTCCCCGATTCCTATGATTTACCCAGGATGCTCGCTGCGTGTGTCTCCCGCTGTGGGCGGTGCATATTTCGTCATTTACAGAGGATTCATCACATATCTTAAGCACGCCCCCTCCTTTAGCGATGCCGGTTGATCACATCTTAAGCACCGCCCCTCATGAGGCGACACCGGTTGATCACAGCTGTCACCCGCCCCCTCCTTTGGCGATGCAGGTTGATCAGACGTCTTAAGCATGCCCCGTCATGAGGCGATCCCCGCTGATCACATTTCTTAAACCCGCCCCCTCATCGCCAAGCGGAAACGCTGAAAAGCAAACGCAAGAGAAAGAACAAGCACACAAGCAAACAAAGGCAGAAGGCAGAAAGAAAAGCAGAAAAAAGGGGGAATAGAAAAGCGAAGCAGAGAAGCAGAAAACAAAAACACAAAAAAGCAGAAAACAACAAGCAAACAAAAGCATAAGGCAAAACAGGCCAACAAAATCCAAGCATGGAGCTACTAATAACAAAAGTGTCCCAAAATAACAGGAAAATGTTTAAACAAATAGGGCGCCTTCTCTTAAAACCTGGATTAGCTGCAGATCATGTACGTTTCATGGAAGGTTAGTTGCTCTTTCCAACCTCTTGGTGACATCTTCTCCAAAGCTCTTCCGCTTGCTGCTGTTAAGCTGGGTAATCTTCTTCAGGCCGAGCTTTTGGACCGTCTCTGAGCACCAACTGCAAGATCTGCAAGCACTTGATGTGCTGAGAACTCCATCATTTAGGAATGCCACATAATTAGCAAGCAGGTTGCATGTGTCCTATAGCCTGGACCCCGACTGACCAACGCGGAGGGTTGGGGATTGGAGAACCTTTGACAACCACTTGATCAGCGGCGCGTTTGCGTACGTAGATTCTATAGCCTGTAACAGCTCAACAGTGTCCTTAGCATTAGTAACATTAGTATCCTACCGACACCTCAAGTGTAGAGTTATAGGTTTAGATGAGGGCGTGCGTCTTCCAAGCAAGATTGTCGTCCAACCTCGACCATCATGTCAGAGCGGCTTGTAATGGATGTAATTAGTGCATGCGGGCGCGCACAAGTGCGGGCGCCCGCAGGGGCGCGGCCACGTGCGTTGCGCGTGTGCAGTCGCGTGCGCGGGTACGGGCGCAAACCCGGGCACGTATTCGGTCTCTGGCGCGCATGACAGGCCTGTGCGTGTGCAGGTGCCTTGGGGGCGGACGCGCGTGGGTGGGCGTGGGTGGGGGGTGTAGGTCTGTGTGTGTGGCAGGCTTTTAAGGACGGTCGTCATGAGATTGCGGAGTCTCCCCATCCAGAAGCCTGCAGACCCCCGGACTACTACAACAATAGATCCGTGCATGCAAACTCCAGAAGCAGTCGGCTGAACTCAAGCGGAAAACGGCCACCTCGGGTGCACCCAAATGTCAACCATTGAAGCGGGAGGCGATGACGGGAAGGAAGACAGGGCGCCGGCTTGAGCCCTACACGTGGAGTTCATGGCAAGCAAGATCCAGCATGAAGCCCGCCAATGCGCACACACCCCGTGACTGAGATGTCACGTTTCCCGACAGAATATTAAACTCCCTCAGTGCCCACCAGGGAAGGCATTTCTAGCGCGATCCCTATTAAACAGCATGGGTCTGGAGACTTGGCCCAAGACTGAAAGCCAACTCATATTCTTCCGCTGACCATTGCACAAGGGTGACAGTTTGAAGCATACCCCGTGCCTTCGATGACTCGAACTATCAACCTATTGTAGCCCAAGTGCTACTTGGATATGGGCTTCGGTCTGATGCCGTTGCAGCCCGAGAGCGAAGGGATCCATGCTGTAGGTAAGGATGTTGTTGGCTTGCCGGGGGCATACACGTCTTCTCGACCCAGTCTTCAAACATGATCTCAAAAAACATTGTGATCCGATTCCCGGGTGCCCTCCCGAAATAGTGTCCCACCAATAAGTTATCCGGTTTCCCAAGTCTACTAAGCCTTCGATAGAATTGTGCAGGCTACTTGCGCGAACACTCACTTTGGTATTTTTTGCCTCGAGGTACAGCAGCCTGGCTGCAGCCTGTACACATACCTCCCGGACTGACTTGATATCTTTGAAAGGGGTTTTCTACGGCACTAAACTGCAAAGAACGCGGCTCTAGGTGAATTTGGAGCCATGGCTGGCCAGATCCTGCCGCAACCAAACTACATCCTACGTCCTAATATCGCACTAAACAAGCCGATTTACTGACTTGCCCAAAAGTTGAACCTTGCCACTCCTGCGGCGGCCAGCATCGCTCCCACCGCGATGCTTGACATGTAACGGGAAAGGCTGCCAAAGACTCAGCAGAGCTTTGTTCCGGGAGGCTATGGGCTATGGGGTTTGGCTCAATCAAAGGGCTTACTGCGGGGAGCACAAAGCGGGAAGGCATCCCTCGCCGGTATTTCAAATCAGTTTGGCGACTCACTGATGTCATCTAAGATCTCCTCGTCGTTTATGCCGTTCCTCGCATCTGCAATCAAACCCAAAGGACCCAAGGCAGCTAGGGCCAGGGGACCAGGGGGCAAGGAGAACAGGATACTGTAGGCCGAACCAAGCCTGGTCAAACGCGCAGAAACGACTGGACCTTCATCTCTGCACCATCACTATCGTATCCTTCAGCTGGCGACCCCGCCGGTCAACCCTTCAACCTGAAAGCCAGTCGCCCGAAGGCACAAGTGGGCTTACGGATGATGACGCCGGATCTCCTCCCAAGACCAAACGTGATAGAGCAAAGCAGGAATCAACAAACCTCCCACACCCTGAAGTTAAGGGCCTAAGCCCCGAAAAGCAAATGCCTACGACCTGAACACCACAGACCGAAGCCGGACCCCAAATTGACTCGGCTTCAATCAACCACTCCTCAAACTGCGTAGACATTGACAACTCGTGAATCCCACCCTTGCCGCAAAAGTTCACCCCGTTCCACTCGCGAATCGACTTCCGCCAGTGCTGAACCTCCGATTCCCACTGCCTCGAGACCACGAAGGCTTAAGGCTTAAGACATGAGTGCTTTGAGAAGTCCCAGATTCGATGCGTGAAAAGCGAGCAGGCCCCCGCCCCTGCTCTAAAATTGACAATGGGTTCACAGCAATGGAACTTCATTTTTGAGGTATGCTGGTTGACGAACGCCTCTTTTGACCCCCACACTCGGACTCAGCCCAACGAAAGGTCATCTTGCGTGTTCAGACTCTTGTAGCTTTTTCGGGGCTTAGGGCTTTGGACCTGTGGTGGTCGGACGTGGAGAGGCTACAAAGCATGCCGACTCACGCAGAACCTGGGCACCAGCACTCCAAGTGCGCTGAGGCCTGGAGCCATCAAGTTGGGTGCCCCTGGGCTCGCAACCCAAAGCTGCCGAGCCCTGCAGTTGAACAGTCATCCATACCGGCCCAGCCTCTTGCTGGTTCGCGCGTCGGGATCGGGCGTGTTGGGCTCTTCGGGGTCCTTCGGAGCTGGTGGAGCTGAGAGGTAGAGCTCAGACTTTCGGAGATGCTGATGCGAGAACAAGCCTGAAGCAGTTGCACCAACACTACAGGAGAAAGGCTCCAAAGCAACAGACCGCCCAGCGGTCCCGACTTCCACGCGGGCAGGCCGAGTTGTAAGCAATGTAGTCCTTATGGATGACGTCGTTCGGCGGCGTTTGGGATGGGTCTAAACTTAAACGGCATCGCCCGCAGCACGTGGAGGATTGTGAGGCAAAGGCCCTGCTCTTAGATGCAACTGTAAGCAGCGTCATCTTCTCCACGACACGCATGCTTGACCGTTTACTGTGCACCGGTCGCAGCCCCATTCTAGACCGTGCGTAGCTACAATGCTCATAGAAACCAGGAGGCTTTGCAGCACGGGCCTATCCCGAGGCTGTAGGCTCGCAGATGTCCGATAAACTACTTGCTCACCCTCTCGCCCCAGCCGCCTTGCTCCGCTGCGGGGTTGAAACATGATCTAGCAAACTCGAACGCGATGCGTGAGACTGTCTTACTTCCGGTGAGTTCTTCGCTCGTCGCGCAACGGTGGACGCAGCCGCCTTGCTGACAACATGAAGTGTTGAATGCAAAGCAACCAGCACTTTTCGTGGCACATTCCCGAATCAGCCACTCCTGCACAACTCACATTGGCAAGACTCGTGTTCGGAGCAAAGCAGCTGTTCAAGCCAACCGCACACGAACTGGAAGTTGTCCGTCTACACTTATTTAGTATATCAAACATGTGTTTCCTTTTTTTCGAAATTGCCGTTTCAGATGTCGCTTTCGCGAGCCTTTATTCTTGGTCCGCACATGTCACTCTCTCAGCAAGGAAGTCGTATGTGGTGTTGGTGGTGTTGGTAACGTTGGTGTTGTTGTTGGTGGTGGCGGTGGCGGTGGCGGTGGCGGTGGCGGTGGCGGTGGCGGTGGCGGTGGCGGTGGTGGTGGTGGTGGTGGTGACGGCGGTGGCGGTGGCGGTGGCGGTGGTCGCGGCCGGAACGGGTGTGATTTTGGGGAGGTGGGGCATGTTGGCGAGGAGGGTACACAATCAGAAGCCTGAGGACGTTTTCGGCGACTTGCAAATGATGCCACAGAGTTCCAATACATTGTTCTCGTCGAGCGTGGGCTGCACTCATTGCACATTTGCGACCTTTGCGGTACTGCTAGCTGCACTGGTGGGAAGCTAGTCGTGTCGAGTGCGCATCAACAAGGCTATATTCGTGAAGTGCCTGCTTCCAGAGAGCTCGGGGCAAAAACAGGAGGTCACAAGCGCTGGTCGGGAGGGTACTGGTTACTACTGATTACTGAAGAAAGACACAAGCAGCCGATGGCAAACTCGGCACGATCTGTCAATTCCTGCCTGATGTATGTCCAGTACTTCAACCGAAGTGTCGGCACGGCGCTTGTGAGCGAGGATCACTGTTCGGCGCTTGTTCCGACGCTGCACCCAGTCCTGCAGTCAGATGAATGTGGATAAAGGCCAGCACGTGCCTCAATGTAATCTATCCGCTGACCCTTATTCCAGGTGCCACACGCAGTTGCGGGATAAGGACCACGCTGGCGTGCCAGAACCAATCGCTCTCCGAGCAGATCGGTAAAAAACAATGGACACACCCCGCGATTCAGCAAAGAGGGGACGAGCTCACTGGGAAAATGCTCGGTGCATGCAGCACTAAGAAACTACGACGACTGTCGCCTGAACTACACCCGGCACTGCTGTGACGTTGTCAGCCGTTACCTGCACGATTTCTGGCTGCATGTCGTGCTGTTGTGGCGAAGTAGAGGTATTCTCCCCTCGTTGCCACACCACGGGGATGTTCAAGCCGTTGTTAAACTCCACCCTGCCAGTTTGGAAATCTGTGCTCGTGAACACCGTGCCGATGTAGTCCAAGTAGATCTCGTTCTCCGGCCCGCGATAGAAATGGAAGTGCTCTGTGCACGGCTCGTTGGGTTGCTCACCATTAAATGTCATACGAGTGCCACCGGTCAAGGTGTAGTGGTCATCTTGCACACGCACGGTCGTGTACATGATGCCAGGGGCCGATCCCCCTGCCTCCGGGGGAACTATCTTCCAGCTGCCTGCCAAGTTCCTCAACAGCTCCTGTTTCTCTTCCTCGGGAAGTGGCACGGAGCCGGTTGGTATGCCCCGGCAAAATGGCTGGGGGAATCGGTCTTGCTGAAGGCATTTGCAGCCACACGGTGGCGGGCCCTGGAACTTCAACAACTCAGGGTGAGTCGGCATTCTCTTGGAAAACGGCTTCGACGACCACACAGGCTCCGTGATGTAGTCCATGGCAGCAGCTTTTGATATCGATACTGCACAGCGTGAAGAAACGAAGTCGCAAGATTTCAGGCCAATCGTTACACCCAGAACTCATCATGCTGAAGCTCCTGGATAAACAATGCCAAGTGTGTTGCTGCAGGCACCTGTTTGTGAGGATTATGGGGGTTGCCAAACCTTGAGAAAGACCTCGTGGTCGAGATCGCTGCGCGTGCATGCAAACGTCACATTGGCTAGTAGCCTGCATTGCATCTAGTTTCTAGTTTCGGACCTCGTAAGTTCTACCCATCTGATGGCAAGTGCTCTGCGTGTTGGGGACACCCTTAGCCTGGAAGCAAGCACAGTGCGTCAAACGAAGCCCACATTCAGAAGTGAAGACATGCTGAATATCGGACAGCCGAACTTCGCACAGGAAAAAGGTGAAAAATCACTGCAGATTCTCAATCGGAGATAAACCTGATGACAGGCACTGTCTCAAAATGCATGGGCTGAACAACTGATCAGCTTCGACTTAATTACTGCAAAAAACCAAACCAAGCCGTCGGTCCTCCTCACTTAACTGTGCTTGGTTCTGCTGCGCCGCACCTTGCTCCTCCACGGCCGACCATTCAGAGGATGGGGTGAGGAATCCTCTTTGCAAACTTTTTGCAGAGAAGGAGTAGGCAAACCGACGGCGGAGAATGCAGCAAAACACTAGCAACAACGACCTGGACCCTTTGAGGCCTCCTCGCGTGGTACTGAGTTCCGACCACGTGGACGGTGGCGCTTGGTCGCTGGACTTGACTGAGCGGTACCACCTGCAAAAGTCGGGTCATCTGGTTCAGTTCACGCGGAAATAAGCTTGAATGTTCTACACTGCGCGAGCATGGGGACGTAACAATGACAGCGGAGGCGCGACGCTGGCGCCGGTGATGGCGACTGCGGCAGCTGCAGGAGCATGTGGGGACAGTGGCGGAGGCTCCGGAACTGGTGGCGGTGGTGATTGTGGTGGGGATTGAGGTGGTGGCCGAGTGGTGGTCGAGCGTTCATTGATCGTACCGCGGCAAGAAGGCGGTGATGGTGGCGCTGACTGTTCCTACTGGTGCTCGTGGGAGGCTGGCAGTACTCGGTGGAAGCAGTGGCTATAGCGGGTTGGTGCTCCTGGTGTGGGCGTGGAGCAGGAGCAGTGACAGCAGCAGCAGAAGCAGCAGCGGCAGCACAAAGGAATCGCAAATGCCCCAGCAAAGGGAACAGCAGTACAAGCAGCCGTGGAGATAATACTGAATTCGAGCGGCAAAGACGACTATTGGTCGAGAAGGAAAGCTGAATCAACAAGGTCCAACGCGGCAACCGTAGCTCTAACAACGAGGTGTCAAACACAGCACATCAGGATCGACCATCAGCTGTGTTCTGCGGGCCCCAAAGTCAACAGGTTGGCCCTTAGAATGCAAAGCAAGCTTTCACGTGCTAGCCGCTAGAACCAGCTCGGTGCTGCGAGTTCCGAATTCCGTGAAGGTTCCGATCCACCAACCGTCACTCTGGGAAGCGTCGTCTAAATCACATACTGCTACATAGCCTGACACAACAGAATAATTTATATCTAGAAAGGTGCTACTTATTCAAAGTAGGCTCTTGCCGGGTCCGGAATGAAACCAATCTAGGCAATCGCCCCTTGCCGCCTCGTTTGCGCTCCTGCGCTTTAGGTGCAGGAGTCAGAGACGAGGCGGCCTAGCACAAGAGTCTCGCATCTCTTCTCCAAGAATAAAACTTTCTGCGATCACTCTCTCTCCCTGGCCCTCTCCTCCCAGTCTCTCCCTGTCTCGCTCCCGTAGGCCCATCTGGCCTGCTTGCACTGTTGTAGCACTCGCTCTTTCTCCCTGCCGTCCCCTGAATCCAAGACTGTTGCAGCCAAGCTTTCTGGGCTTGGTGCTTCTGACGCTAGTGGACATGCTTCTCCACTAGAAGGACGAACTGCAGTCAAGTAGCTCCTATAAGGCGGCATGAGTGCGGCACGGGCGCTGAAAGACTGAAACAACCCTGAGCCCAGATACCGAAAAAACTGTGAACTGGCCTTGTCCATAACCGGACCCCGTTCCTAAACGATGAAGCAATGAAGATGAAGCCACATCCCGCGGCTTACACGAAGTGACCCGCGCCTCGGTCAGGACCGAGGACAAGGGACGACGCTCCTCAAACCAATCAGAGCACTGCCACACTCGAATGCGAGCGAAAAGATGAACAGCAAACTTCTGGCAGCAGCAACAATGCATTGTCCAGCTCCTGGCGGACCGGGCTGACTTCGGGCTCTTCGGCCAAAGTTCCCATTGCCTTTCGAATCACTTGTCCAGAAAAGTCTGTAGAATTGGACTTGGGCTTAACTTGGACACGGCGGAGCCGGGTCTAACGCGGAAAGGAGTGGAAAGCCGCTTGTGGTTGAGCCTCCAAGGTCTCGGGCTTGGATTTGGGCTCGCCACCGATCAGTGAGGGTTCAAGATGTAGAGTTTGGGAGTCATGGGCGACATCAAGGGCATGGCTTCGTCACAGCCTGACCTACACAGAAAACTCATGACGACCTGCTGTCTAGAATCTTGAAGATCCCGTACAAGCTGGCTTCTACACACCACTTCCGTTATGACTCGTGCCTCGGAGGTGATTGATAGGAACCTCACTTCTAGACCAGTGGCCTGCCTTCATGCGCTTTTTCGCTAGTCTTCCTCCAAGGATTCCGTGCATGAGTGTTTGTCGGCGCATGCTTTTTCAACCCGCAGCAAACAAACACGAATGAGTTCGAGTTTCGTAGCGACGTCCGAAAAACGTCTCCTGCGTGCTTCATTCTCCCTTATGTCAGTTTGCTGCTTGTAGATGCTATCCATGTGCTGGCCACGGTTACAAAATTTGACCGATAAACCCAAAAAGCCGTGATTTTACGACAGCTGCTGCCGATTTTGCCATCCAAGCAGCGAAGCAAACCTCAAACTGAAAGTACGAGTAACTAGCTAGCATGTCTGACAGAAATCCAACTGCCGATGTGCACGACTCCTCGCAGGAAGCTGCAACCAGTCCTGCTACGAGCTTCAAACTGTGGACTCCCTCCTTAGCGAAGCCGCAACAACCAAAACTCGAAGCCGTCAACCCGGCCTCGCTCACCGATGCCTCGGTCATGTGGCGTCTCCGGGACAGAAAACCTGCCGTGAACAAAGGTTTCGTGGTTCAACACGAAAGCTGATGTTCCATGCCTGTCGGGGGCCCTAGACCATTGCTGTTCAGAGCGCCTTCTCCATGTGCCTGCTTTGGGACCTCGTTACGATGGCCATGTTCATGAAGGCGTGGCATCTGCAAAGAGTGGCTGCTTTCCTTCCGTTCCCGGTCCACTTTCCTTGCTTTGCTCGTGCTCATGGTCTTTGTCAAGGCCGAGGGAAAAGGCCTCCTGTATGACCTTATGAGACAACCACGTTGAAAGAGCGGCTCCTGGTCCAGTCTCCCCAGCACCCTGAATTTCAATCCCCTCAACTTGCATCAGAAAGTGCCGCGAACAAACCCCAAGCACAAGAACCTAGGAGCCACTTTGCCCGAAAAACTTGCATGTGAAGCCCTAACATACCTGAAATCTAGGATGGATACTCACTGTCTAAGCAATCTATTTAAACAGCCTCTCGGAAAGTTGAACCACTCGTCCCCGCTTAGGGTGCCTGGGCGGTCCGTGGAGCTCGAGGCCACTTCTCTGTCCGGCATCTGAGGGAATGTCAAACATGGCGAAGTCACAGACGCTGTTCGGGCCGTTTGGTTCAGGGGTGCATCTTAAGATGGAACGGCTGGCGCTGTGATCGCTCGCGGCTTCCAAGCTTTAGGCCAGAGTGTAACGTTCAAACATCAGTCCATCTGCATTTCTTTCATCAAGCGACCAGGGCTCTGCGGAGTGTTGTGTGTGTGCATAGGTGCATACTCCCGGCACGCATGCACCATGCAGACAGACGTATGTGCAGGGAACTGGCTCACTGTATGTGTTGATCCTTGAAGGCACCTTCTGCTTCTGAAAGCCCTGTTCGAAAGTAACAGACGACTTCAACCTTTAGCGCGTAGGATCAAAGCACGGTGTAAGTTGCACACCCGATCATCTTGCGAGGCGCCAGCCTGATCGGTGCACTCAGGGGGGCGAGGTTCCCAGTTTGGGTTACGGAGCGGGTTTGGGCCCCAGCTTGAATCGGGACCTATCGACCGGGTCTCGGCTGAGGTACGTTTCCAAGCCGCATCTGGATGACACAAACGGAGATCCCTGCAGCCTCTCTCAGGAGGCAAGTTGCCCGGTACCCAATCGAAAACTATCTTGTGTCAGCTTGAATGCCATGATCTCGAAAACAAATCATTCCCACCGTCCCACCGACACCGGCAACCCCCATGCCGCGACATTGACGAAGCCGAGGAAGACGACGACGACGACTGCGACGATGGCAGGATCCCAAATCAAAGCCCCAAAGACTCCATAGACGGAACTGGTTGCAAGGAAACGGGTAGCAACTGTCTTGTTTGCTGTCGTCCAGTAGCTGGTTCGGGTGTTTTGATCAAAATGCACATTGACCGGCACAATGCATTACGATCAAGGTCCGAGTCGAACAGGTTGGGAAGAAAGACGGCATGAAGTGAAGAACTGCACATGATGCCTTGTCTGAATCTGAGCTTGTGGAGCTTCGAAATGAACCCCCCAGGGTTGTTTAGGGATGCAGTGTATCAAGGCATGGGTAAGTAGCACGTAAGACCTCGGCGAGGTTCGCGTTGTTGCGCAGCAGGTCGCAGATGCCGCTTTGCGAGGCCTGCAGACGAGAGAGTGCTAGGTTTGCTCACTGCGTTGCCAAAACGACTGGCCTCTGCTAGTTCCAGAACACTTCAAGTATGCATAGACCTCGCAAGCTACAGCACAAACCCATTGCCAAAGCGTGCCTGCTGCGAGGCCTGGGAATCTTGGTATGAATCTTGATGCAGAAGCTGCGATGCTCGCACTTCCTGTTGTGACGCATCCTGTCCGAAACCAGGGCTCGGACAAAACAAGACAGACACTGCAGCCCGTTATGCAAAAGCTACGCTGCTGTCGCAGCCAGTGTGGATCTTAGCACGTTCCGCACCCACGATGGCCCCTTTGAATGGGCGTGCAGAGATACGTCAACATAATTTCAAACTCGTCTAAGCGCTCACACACGTTGTGGATGACTGCCCTGACAACATCCCTCGCTGCAAAAGAGTCCAACAAATCACGCGATCTCCTCCTGTTCCTGCGACGAATCCACCACATCGGCCCACCGTGCACGTGGCACCCCGGTAGGCCGCGGCTCCCAGGTCATGGCCATCCTAATAGTTGAGGCCCCCCAGCCCGTGGCGCAAACCCCCCACTTCGATACCTGGAGCCACACGGCCCAAGCGAGCGAGGGAAGCCACTCGAAGTGGTTCGTAGGGTGCTTTGGGGGGGCACTTCTCACAAAACCTCATCCTGACTAGAGGCGAGGCATGATTAGCTTGATATCGGAGCATTAAAAGTTGGACATCATGTATGCAGCCCGATGCAACGCGAGAAGCAGGGGGCAGCCAGCGTCTTTTTGCATCCTCATCTTCAGATCTTTCATTTCACGTTCTCACCACGTGTACCAGCATCCGGCCACATCGCCTTCTCCTTCCTTTTAAATAGGAACCCATTAGCTTACAAAAACCGTTTGTTGCAGTGAGAGGGCCTTCTGACCTCAACCCAAGCGGTCTACAACATCCAGAAGTAAACATGCTGAATTCATATGAACGATAGAAACCCATGAGAGTGGAAGAGCCTTGGCATTCCTCTAAGAGACGCTTCCCTCGGTAATGCATGCCAGACCAGTCTGAAAACCTTGTTGATACAAGTAAACGCCTACACTGCACTGTGCGTAATTAGGCTGCAATGATGAGAGTTGGCTCCTACTGCGGCTCACGCAGCTTTCGCCGGGGTCAGAGCTGCACGGCGGCGGGGCGCAAGAGCCGGTTTTTCCTCCCCGTTCGTCTCCGTGCCTCAGTTTTCAGGTTCAATTAAGCCAAGCTCATGAGCATATACTGTTTACGGATTCGCCGCTGCGAAGTACGAGGCATTAGATCCATGCTTGCAAACTCACATTCTGGCATGACGATCAAGCTTGAAAAGCCTCAAGCAGTAGATTGTGCATTCCACTCGGCCAGTGCTAGCTGACTTTTGTGACGGGTTTCTTGCTTTGCAGGATTGACTTCCTCTTTGCTTAGCACGACGCCGTGGCACCGGACAAAAACGAGAACAGACCTGCTGACAAACAACTGCAACATAAAGACCTCTGCCTGTAGACTTCACGCGAGAGACTGGGCTAAATCGTCTGCGGGTACTTGAGCAGCTTCAGCAGGTAACGACCGACTGGTTAGCATACGCGGCACCCTTCAACGACTGGACTCAAAGCGTCTCAATGACAGCAACAACGAGAAATGATCATCGTCACCGCCTCCGTGGTCACCATGCTGGCAATCAACTGCTCTTACAGCCGCCGTGCATCTGACACCGCATGATGCCGCCACCTTTGCACTTTGCACCCCACAGCCGCACCCAAGGACTGAGTGGACCGATTTGGACTGCGGCCCGGGTGGCGCAGCTTCTTCGGCTCCTCCCCGACCTCCTCGGGCTCTTCTTCCTCGTCCTCCTCGCCTCCCTGCAGACCCTCCTCGAGCATCATGAAAGGCAAGTCTTCGGGATTCCAGTGAGCTCAGAGTTTGAGGGCAGTCCTAGTGCCGGAAATCATACCGAGATGTCCTGAGGCGTCTCACTCATGCGTGGATGGAAATTTCTGTAAACCCGTGGATTCCACACTGAAAGCACGCAGCTCTGTCCCCAAAACCTTGGAAGACCTTGAAACAGAAAGTTCCTCAGCACCGAACGGGCTCTCAAACAAAGGCATGAGCGCAAATAAGGCTCCTCTTCCTCTTCAGCCTCCTCAGCATCCACCAAAAGGGTGGAGGTGCCGAGATGCTTGGGCAGAAGACGGACCTGTTCGTTGGATCAACGACACCGAGGCTCACAGCATAGCCAAGAAATTTCACAAGACGTTTTCAGAAGCGCTTACTCGGAGTTCCGCTGGACCACTTGTGAACTCAGCAGCGCAGGATGGCGGTGAAACTCTGGGCAGAGCTTCAAGAATATGTTCGTCACCAAATTGGAGTCAACATCGCTTGTCCGATACTCATATCGGCGGTGGTGATGGCGGCGGCGGTCACGGTTATGGTAGTAGTCGTCGTCGTCGCCGTCGCCGTCGTCGAGGTAATACTAGGTAGCGGCAGCGGGAGCAGTAGCAGCAGCCGTAGCCGTGTCGTCGTCGTAGTAGTAGTCGTCGTCGTAGTAGTCGTCGTTGTCGTCGTCGTCGTAGGGGTCGTCGTCGTCGGCGTCGTCGTCGCCGGCGGCGTCGGCGTCGGCGTCGGCGTCGAGGTCGCCGGCGGCGTCGGCGTCGGCGTCGGCGTCG